AAGGTGGGACACACAATTCTTCTTCAGTTCTCACTGCCAGCAGAGTGACTTCTCTGGTGGCAACTGCTCAGCAGGCTTCTGGCCCTGCTCTTTGATCATCATGATGCTTCAGGACTTCTAATTTACCAGCCTGAATTATGGAAGAACCTGAAACATTACTAGTGTGCTATGCAAGGGAATGCTAGAGGAGACAGCACAGCACTAGGAAGGAGAAATAACCCTCTCTGCTCTCCAAGAAACTGTCCACTGGCTTAAACAACAGAGAAGCCAACTATAGCATGAAGGCATGAGCCCTGCGTTAAGATTCAAAACTTCTGGGGAAATACCCTAGACACTTGCCATCTCCTCCTACTGATTCTGAAAATAAAAACCTAACATTTTTGAATATAAAATCATCATCATTTCATCAACCAGTTTCTGACCATCAACATCAACTGCAGCTTTAAAGAGAGTAGCAGAGAAGTGTAGATTGCTTGTGGAACATTTCCTCATCAGCCGCTGTTGCTCTTCTCCTTGCGTTGCTGGAGTTTTGTTCTTCCTCCACTGCTAGATAGGGAAACAGAAAGCTCCCCATGTGTAAGAGAATTTTACTTACAATGGCTTTCAGACACCCAAACACCCCAGACACCTGTCTCCCAGCCTGAGCAGCTAAGAAAGTTGAGCCTTACTGTCCGTGGGAGCTTAGTGCTAGAGAAGTGGGAAGAAAATCCAGGTCAGAATGCCATAATGTCACTTCACAAAGAAATCTGACCATGCTGAGACAGCCACCCCTCCCACCCCCATTTGTAACCCTCTCTGCTGGATTTTGTCTGCCATTTAGCAGCAAAACTGACACTAAATGCAAGGTTTGGCACAATCAGTGTTGTCTGCAGCTGGAATAGGAGCATGGTCAGGCAGACAGTGATATTTCTACTGCCGTATAACCTGGGATTTTAGAATGACCCCGTGCAACTTCTTAAATCTCAAAAGCTTCCCAGCATCACACCTAAGTTCAGATAGGTACAGTGGGTGTGAAGTTGAGATGTTCAGCAGGGAGCTGTGTCTTTCCACACCCATTATTCAGAGTGCCTGTTACTGCTGACACCATACAAGATGAGGTGGTTCTTGCTTACTCGGTGGTACTCAAGCTTCACTTTGGGCTGGCATGTCTCGCACATCCCAGAGGGTCATGCACTCCCTCATGTTTACCTAAATTCAAGTATGCCTATTACCTGAGCCATGCGGAAGAAAGGAGGAGTGCACCCAAACTCACACCTCCTTTTCCGAAGGCTGCACAGAACAGAGCTTGTGATCCTGTGGTTAGAAAGTATGCATTGCAAAGGCTTCATGCACATGAGAGGAAGGCTGGAAAATGTGCATGAGATGTGAGCTTACAAGATACTGGGCTCTTTGCTCATCCTCTCAGCCAACTCTGCTTGCCCAAATCTCTTGCTCTACCTCAGGGATTGCATGATCAGTAGGTCCAGTTCTTCCAGGGCAGTTTATACTCTCCATCTCCCTATGCAGCTGTTGAAGCTAAATTACTCACTATAGAGGCTGACACAAAGGCAAGGCCTCTGGCTGGCCAAGACTTCAAGCAATATGAATTTAAAAGCATGAGGAGGAGGAGTGGAAGGAGGAGGGGCTGTGTTCTTAGATTACAGTTGCCTCTGACCCAAGGTCCTGAGCCAAGAGGATTGTCAAGATTAGAAACATTATCTGCATTCAAATCCCACTAGCATTATGGAATCAGAAAATACTGTAAGGGGATATATAAATGCTTGATACTGTAATGAGTAGGGGGCAACTAGCCAAACTGCTGTGCCTCTGGCATACTCCATGTTTTGCTGCCATATGGGATTGAAGTATAGGTGTGGGAACATATCTTCACCTACGCACTGGTCAGACTCACCTGCTGCAGTGGAAAGCAGGGAAACCAAGGCCCTGCATAGCTGGCACTTTCAAAAGCCACCACATAGGTACTGACACCCTGCAAAGGTCTCCTGCCCCCAGGAACTGCCACAGTAGAAAGAGCTAAAGAGAGTCTCATGTTACACAAAGAGTTCCCTGTTGTGAGACACTGCTCTGAGGATGAGCACAGGCTGTACTGCTTTCCTCATTGTCTCATTAGCATGAAGGTCTCAGCAGACGAGCCAGGGTGCCTGCTTGGCTCCCAGCTCTGTCCCCTCATACAAACATAACCCACAGGCACACATACACCCTGTACACATGCATGCTCCTATATACACACACTGTTACACATCTCTCGGGATGAGCCTCTTCAGAGGGACATCTCTAAACATTCATATCCACAATACATACACCTCCAAGAGACAGTCTTGCTAGACACAGTCACACAAGCCCTGCCACACCAACGGGCACACCTCCAGCGTTACTGTGGCCATTTTTGACCACTGAGCACTCTCAGAGTCTCATACAAAGAGGCTTTCATCACATCACCCATGTTTTCTCGACACATTTACTCTTTCCCAGCAAGATCCCATGCTCACAGCTACGTGGCTACACCCACACCTCTCCAGACTTACCTCGTGTGAGCTGCATGCTGACATACATGACTCCTGATCAATGCCTCCTCTCTTGCAGTCAACCCAACCACTTGTTTGTAGCAGGTGTTGCAGCTTTTCTGCACATTTTTGACCTTCTTCAAACACCCACAAGAAACCTTAACCATCTTCTGTGTGCAGGGGTCAAGAACTATTGGGCTTAAACTGCCCTGACTTTGTCTGGCACATGGCTGACATAACTCTGAGTAGCTAGATAAGTATCAACTGGAGTGGACATGACTGAACAAGCCTTCTTCCCTTGGGCTTTCTGTGTTTTACCTCTGGTCACAGAGCAGCCAGAGCTTCAAGCATTGACTCTGAGGAACCTCTTGCCGGTGTGCACAACTGCCAACAAGCATGTTGACAATGTCCCAGAAAGCTGATGCTCCTACAGGCTCCATCCCCTTGTCCAGGAAAGACAGATACCCATTATGGGAGATCTTCTCTCACCATCTTGCTTGGAGATGTCTAGAGAGTTCACAAGAGGTGTCCATCTCTCACAGCAATGTTGGGTGCCAACTGCTCTCAGGTGGTCTGAGATGTACAGCCGTGGCCCGAGCCAGGAGATGGGATGCCAGACCAGTCAAACTAGTGCTCAGATGCCTCATCATTGGATATGCAAACATGAATCAGTGCTCTGCCCCATTCAGGCAGTGTCCATGGCACAGGCCCCGAACGTGCAGCCTTACCTTTGTTTTAAAGCACTGGCAAAGAGCAAGGAAAGAGCATTGAGATGCCTGTTTCCTGTGTAACAGAAGCACCCCTTTTACTTCACATGGTGTCCCCTTAAGGACAACAGGACAGATAGCCACAGGGGGTTCAAGGCTGCGGTGTTGCTGTGGGGGTTGGTGGAGACTATGTCCTCCTGGAGGGCTTTGGGTTTGGAACAGGCCTGGGGATGCATATTTGTTGGAAGGAAGGAAACAACCACATTCTTCATCACTCTCCTTTGCTCAAGCAAGGTCTTGAGACCTGATCATCTGGGTGTCTGTCACCATCCTCCAGAATTTTGGGGACAGGCTGGGTGCTGACAGCACAGGGAGCTGGCCGGCCCCATGACACCCCATCGCACAGGCAAGGTAGCTGCCCCACCACTTTTGCTCCCCAACACCTTTTATTGCTGCTCACTCTCACAGTGGCCGGGCACAGGCAGAAGCTATTTATAGCAGGGGAGCCACGGGGCCGCACGGCTGCAGTGGCAGCGCCGCTGGGCGACATTCAAACTGGCTTTGACTCTGGGGCAGGAACTAAAATGGGTCGGGCAGGGGGGGCTTCCTCATAAATCAGCCCTCTATATCTCTGGTCATGGCTTTTCATCTGCCCCTCTCCTACTGCCGAGCACTGGCAGCTGTGCCCTAATAGGGACATTCCTATCCCAGAGACCCCTGACCCCTCATCTCCATCACCCCCCACTCTCCGACGGGGTTGGGAGGAGGAATAGCAAGAAGACCAAGGCGTTCATGGATCAGGAAGGGAGAGGGAGCAGGAAGAGGCTCTTACAGCTGCTTGGTGGTCTCAGAGCATCATTATCACCTTGTATGGTCTGTAGCATGTTTGCAGTGGGGCTGTCAGTCACCTGCTTAAGTGGACCCATTTTCCAGGGTCACTGCATCTCTAGGAGTCTATCTGGAATTCACAGGGTCTCACCCGGGGCTGCTCCCACCATGGGGCCCTTGCAGAGCTTCTCTCCTTTCCTCACATATCTATTTTCACAAAACAGGCAGGAACTCGATATCTTCAAGAGGCCCCTTCGTCAAAAATGGTGGGAACAGGGGGCAGTGGTTTAGAGAAGCTGTGAGAGGTAAACACGAGCATGGATGGGATTAGATGCATTTCTTTAGCGAAAAGAGGGGACCAGGATCTGGGGGGCTACTGAAGCCTGGACAGGTGACATGACTTCAATTATTTCATAGACAGTGAGCCTATTTTGGCCACCCCATTGCATGCATGAAGGAAACATGATGCTGTAGTATCCTGCATCCCATCCAGTTTGCATCCACTGCTACCTGGCACCATGCAAGAGTTTAACAAAAGTTAAAATGTTGGTAGTGCCCCCACATTGCACTCCCCTGAAGGAGGCCAATAAGGCACCAAGGAGGAAACAGTTTTTGCTTTGTGTCAGTAGCACGGGTCTTTTTCTTCCAGCCATGCCCACTGCTTTAGCGTCTCTGATTCAGTCAGGAGCCCTCTCCCAGTGCCAGTCTCAAACAGCTGCAAACAGCATGTGGTAGTGCCAGCAAATCCCTGCTGCAACACAATGGGAAGAAACCCAACCCTTGTGACCTCTGGTTATCTCAGCAGAGAGGCAGCATGTGACACATCCCACTCACTGGTGCTGTTCAAAAGCAGAATATGGGTCATTTGTGTCTGTCATGCCATGCTAGTGGAGCGTGATGCCCTTTAGCTACCCTGTGGTGTCAACGCTGCTAATGTTGGGCTCTCTGATTCCTCCCACAGCTGGCAGCTCAGGTCCTGGAGCCCAGAAGCATTGGTTTTGGGATGGTGGACTCCAAGAAGGATGCCAAACTTGCCAAAAAATTAGGTGAGTCCCATGTCTGACATTTCTGGAATAGCTTGGAGAGGCTGTGGGAGTGATATCGAACAGCCAGCCCCATAGAGGGCAGCCAAATCCTTGTTACCAGGATAGGGAGGATGTTGGTAGCACTTGCACACTGACCACCTGCCCACCTCACCAAGGGCAGGATCAAGTAGAGGGGTAGGGGTGAGGATGAGAGGAATGAACCCAGAGAGACTCTTTCAGCAAAAACCTTGTTGTCTGAGAGTACCAAAACCAAACCGAATCAAGTGAAAAAGAAAGGCAATTCATGCTGTAATGATGACAAGGTGTAAGCTCACAGCTTGCTGTGCAGGAACAGTAAATAGATGCTATGGAGTAACTTCATGCTCTTCCTACATAGAGATATAACTGATACAGCGGGGCAGAATCAGAACATACAGGGAAATAACATAGGTCCCCAAATGTCACCAGCCCCACAGCAGGGTGACCTCTGTCAACAAAAGGGGGAGCCACAGCCTTGCAATGGTTTGGCAGCCAGGTGCCAAACTGTTCTGGTTTGCTCTCCAGAGCAAAAGGGGAAACTTGTTCTAAAGGTGGAAAGATGCTGCACTGCCCAAGCCTGGACACAGCTGCATTACAGGGACTGACAATCCTTTCATATTTTAGCCCACAAAACAATATGGAAATACTATGGCACATAAATAAAACAGCACACAAATATACCACTAGGCTTAATGTCAGAGACTGTTTAGACATACCAGAGTGTAATTTTCTTTCCTAAATTAGAGGCTGTGTGAGGTAGTGGGAGCTCAACTAAAGACAAGAGCTTCTGCTCCTCTGAGAAGAAACAAACTACCAACCACCTTGACCTGTGGTACTCTGCTGTCCTGCATTACAGGAGGCCAATGCTGCTGATTTTGGAGCCTCCAATGAAGTGCAGTGGCACTCAGTCCTCAGTGCAGTGATATTGCATTCACATCTGCCTCCTGCTGTCTGTGCCATCTCTCCCATGGGTTTCTAACCCTTTTGCCAAGGCCAGATAAGCCTCAGACAGTTTGAAGCTCACTTCTAGATCACTGTTGATGTTCATACAGTCCAGCCTTCTCCAGACAGTGAGCACAACCCTCAGGAAAATCCACTTTCCATAGTGACAGGTTGTTAAAGTCTGAGCTGCCAGTTAGAGCCCAGTATATACTGTGAGATAGATAGCCAAGATAAAACAAGTTCCTGGTACAGAATTTTTCCAGATGAGGCCAAACTGTGACCTGACTGAAAAGTTCAACATTTGGGAAGAAGTTAGCCCCAGTTCTGGCTGAGGTCTGTTGCTGTGCCATCAGTCAGGAGATTGCTCAGGTCGTTTCTAAGTAGACCAACCCAGTTAACTGGCAACTGCATTTTCCCAGACAGCATTGTTGGAATAACAAGCAAGATACTCTGCAGTAAAAATGCTTTTAGTGACACATTAGCCACGTTATGTTTCCTGTCTCCTTCTTTCAGGCTTGCTTGAAGAGGGAAGTCTCTATGTCTTTAAGGATGAGCGGTTGATTGAATTTGATGGGGAACTGGCCACAGATGTCTTGGTGGAATTCCTCTTGGATGTAAGTACAGATAAGCTCAGAGCTAGATAAAGCCTCTCAGAGAAGACCTTGCAAATACTGAGTTTGCTAAAAAACACAAGTGTATCTTTGTTTGAAATGCCATCTGTTTGCTACTCACTGGTAGAGATGGCATTTGCCATCTTCCCCAATACTTGTCTGGCCATGAGTTCACAGGGAAGCTGGTATCTTTATATGCTACCAACCTCTTTTGTCTTGGAGACATTATGCCCTCTTTCTTGTTTATGGAGTATTTGAATGGAAGTCAGCAACAATCCCACATAACTGACTGCTGATCACCCATCTCAGTTAGTAAGCTGGTGTGCAAACACTTTCCCAGTTGCAAAGTCTTCCACACTATTTTTTTTTAAAGAAAAGTTATTTTCAAAAAAAGAATATCCGAGAAGTAGGATTCTTATAGAGCAACTAAAAAGAGCTTGGTGCATTGAAAAGGCCTTATGCTGCAAACTATTTTCCCATTTCTAGACACATACAATGTAATATCTCTTCAGGCAACTTCCGAAATTGCACTGCCATGAGTGAGAGATGGTCAAGGCCCTAGGACTAAGTGCCCTTGGCTCATTTCGTGCATGGGCACAATGATGTACTCACCTTTGTGCCTAAATGAAAAAAAGATGCTGAATCCCCCACATATATGTTGCACTTCTCTTTTTTTACGTTTTATTCCTAGGAAAGGCAACAGCCCAAAACCATGGTCTTTGCTTTGTAATGAAAACATTTTGTGGTGGTTTGGCTTTCCTTTGAAATGAGACTCCTTTATAAGCAGCCATGCAGTAAAGCAGATAAGGGAGGTAAGGCGAGCAGTGGAGCTGGCAGTGTTTGTTTCCCAGGGTGGCAGGTTGCCTACATGGTCACCTGTGGTGCAGGACTGCCGATGAGAAGAAGCACAGCCAGGGAAGAGAAACGGATACCTAGAACCTCAGCTCTTCTGTGACAATGTCTGTGGCTGCATGCATCGGGTGTTATGGCCAAAACACATGCTAGTGGATTCAGGGACAGAAATGGGCATCTGCCCCACTCAGGAGGGCCACAGACAGGTCAGGGCTTTGCCAGCAGTGGAATCCCTGGTTCCCATGGCTCAGGCCACTGGCAGCAGGAAACTGCACATACTGTTGTGGGTACAGCAGAGGCACAGCCTCATGTCGGAGCATTGCTCACAAGGAGTGCAGTGTAAGGTGCTTGATGAGGTTTTTCTTGCTATGCCTTGTGGTGTGACACTGAAAAATCATGTTCTGTGAAAAAGAAAAGACCAAGGATTTCTATTTGGGCATTTTCCACTCTAGAGGAAAAGTACTTGGCAGGGTAACAGCAGGTAAAGCAGGGAAATAAAACCAAACATTTGTGATGCCTCAGCAGCCTGATCTGAAACCTGAGGTTCTCTCTGAACCAGAGGTTCTCTCCTCCTCTGTAGGCTGTACAGTGGCCTGCCTGTTTTTCTTTTCCTCTAGTGAAAACGCACCTGATTTATACCAGTATTATTGGGCAAAATAATCAGACTGAATCTTTTCACCGGCAGTGACTAGTTAAGAAAACAGAAACAAAGTCTGAATCAATGGCAGGCTAAAGTGCCAGATAGGTCTTCCAGATTCCTCATCAACACTGTGATGTGTGTGGGGCCAAAGCCTGGGTTTAAACCATTCTTCATAGGAGCATCAGCCAGGAAAATTCACATCCAGACTTTCCACTGCTCCAAACCTCTGTTTGGCCACCCTCTAGTGTGCTGGTTTTAATGCTTTTAAGAAGCAAGTTCTTTGCAATGAACTCTTCCACCAAATGACACTTGAAAACAGGTATATATAGATGTAGGTATATATGTATCACTTACAGAAGCTCACAGTGTTCATACCAACTCCTTTTGACTGCTCTTCCTTCTTCTCAACCTCCCTAAAGCCAGCTGCAATTGCTACCCCTCATCTCTCATCGCAGCAGGTCCCTCAGCATCTATCCAGGTTACCCTGTCCTCTATCAGCCTCCCTCTGGATGCTTTCACCTATGCAGGGAACCTACTAATGTCTCCCTTTGAAGGTGACCTGCATCTCTCGGTTCCTCACATTAAGGCAGAGAGCACTAATTAGGGTTTCCAACAGTGAAGAAATTGGGTGACCCCTTTCTCCTCACTTAGGCTGCTTGTGACCCACCCTGCCAGGCATAGGTTGGTGCTGCAAATCACTGTGCTATCACATGCATTTGTCATGGCAGTTGCTAGAAGACCCCGTGGAGGTCATAAACAGCAAGCTGGAGCTTCAGGCCTTTGACCAGATCGATGATGAAATCAAACTCATCGGCTACTTTAAAGGAGAAGACTCTGAACGTAAGAAGTTCCTGTGGGGCTTAGAGCCTGGCTGGGGGCTCAGGGGGCCGGGCGTTGGTTGTTCTGCATGAACATTAAGGGTGTTAGGGGTATATGGCAGGGTGCAACAATGTGAAAATTGATGGAAGATGAGGTGGGGTTGCAGACAAGTTTCTGCTGGTGTTATGCACGAGCCCATTCCTACACCAACAGCCGTGACCCTTCTACAAGGAGTCTGCTGGTAAGAGAAGAGGGCCATAATCCAGGGCTCCTAAAGTAAAGTAAGTTTACCTCACCCAAAATCAGTTGAGGTTACAGTTATACTGGGTAAGGAAATTCAGTAATAAGTACTTTGAAGAGAAGTGGGAAAAGCCTATTGTAAAGATCTCCTGCCAGGCTGGAACCCAGCACTGTGCTGTTAGGAGTAACAGTAAAAACATACCTTGTTTCTGTACCTTGTTTCCCCTCCTCCTGCAGCAGGACAAGCATGCCTAATAATGCTTGGTGACCGCTTAGGGAATGGTGGCAATCATTAATGCTGGAGCAATTGCATGTATTTCCCAGGCTGAACTACCTCTGGACCTGCTTGACGGTGCTGCTGATTTCAGCCACAAAGTCTGGCATGCTGGGATCTGTAGTTTTCCTGAGCACTGTGGAGCTGTGCAGCGTGTTGCTCCACTTGAAATGGTCCTTCTGTGTAAACCCTGAAAGGGTGGAAGAAACATAGGGCTGTCATCTGTTGGAGTTTGCAATAATTTATATTTGTTCTTCCCTGATGCCTTCCGTGCTGATCAAACTGTGGTCAGCTGTCTGTGAAATATCTTCTTCATTCCCCTTTTCTCTTTCCAGATTTCAAGGCATTTGAAGAAGCTGCTGAACAATTCCAGCCATACATCAAGTTCTTTGCTACTTTTGACAAAGGGGTAAGCACCCACAGACCTAAATGGGAGCTCGAAGATGCCACCACTTGTTTTCTGAGAGCTCAGGATGTTCCCAAATTTATTATCTGGTTCTAGCTTCTCATTTTCAGTGTTCCTGTATTTTGTGGTATTCGTGTCCACATTGGGATTTGGCTCTGTCACAAGATAAAAGGCCATTTCTGCAGCATGGAGGGAGGTCCTGATATGGGTTTGACCTACATCAGGTCTGCGGGACCTTGAGTCTGGCTTTGCTCTACTCCAGTGCTTGACACCAGTAGTGGAGAGAGCATCAGTGGGTTTTTAACCAAGGAAAGATCTGTTCTGTTTTGTGGGCTATCCCTAGGAGTGCACTCTGAGGTAGAACAAGCACCTTGATCTCAGCTCTGACACTCTTACACTCTGACACTCTGGGTAGGCAAAGAGGCACATCAGGCTCCCTCACCTCTGACTATCTGCACTGTAACAGGTTGCCAAGAAGCTAGGTCTGAAGATGAATGAGGTGGACTTCTATGAACCATTTATGGATGAGCCTGTTCACATCCCTGATAAGCCTTACACAGAAGAGGAGCTGGTTGAATTTGTGAGAGAGCACAGAAGGTAGGTAGTGTACAGGATGCTCCTGGAAAAGGAAGGTGAGTAAAGGTGTCTGTCATTGCAACCTTGCCTTTCTAGGGCAACCCTCTCAGAAAAAATCAGCATGACAACCACCTTTTCCATGATTTGCTGACCCAGGTTGGAGATTGTGGCTGGTTTTTCGCTAGTCACAGAGGTAAAAGTATCTGTGTAGCAATCAGAGCTCACTACAATGGAGCTGTGACAACACAGCCTCCTTTTCTTCCCTAGTTAGTCCTCCTTCAAAAAGCTGGGAGGCTTGAAAGCAGTGGAGAGTGGAAACCTTGGCCTACTTTCCATGCTTTTTGTTTAGGTCTGTAGAAGATAATCTTCTCCAAGGCCTCTCAAGTCAAATTCAAATCTGTCCAGTCCCATCCTTCCCCAAAACAGCTTCACTAATGGCTATATTCCTCTCCTAATGTCAGGTACATTTGGAGGCAGGCTCTGAGCTTAGACCGAGCTCGGAGGAACTGCGATGGACTAAGAGAGTCCTGCTGACAAAGGGCACAGAGAGGCAGCCACTGCTGTCATGGCTGTGTTGAGCCTCATGTGGCAATGGTCCTGAGCACCTACAGTGTTTGATCAACCCAGCAGGAGCTGTGAATGCTCCATGCTTTTTGCAATCAGATTTATTGCACAGTTGTTCAGGGACTCAGCTACCAATGTTTTGGAAGTCACCGGGGAGGCTGATCCTGTGTAAAAGGGTGAGGTTAAATATACAGGCACAGCTACTGATAAGGTGCTGTGTTTTTACACCCCTAAAAACACCATGCAGGATAATGGCACAGTTAACCTGCTGCTCCTGCAATAGCATTTCCCAGCAGACATTCAAGGGACCAGGCCAGAGTTTCAGGAAAGCAGGACCATTGATATAGAGGGGGATCTCAAACTGGGCTCGGCTGGAGGTTTGTGTTCAACCACAGAGGGTTTAGAGACAGAAGATCATCTCTGGAATCCACAACTCACCAGACTAGGAAACAGAGCTCTGCTTTTTCTGAAACATGAAAAGCTCCTCTATCTCCCATGTACTTGAAATTCACTTTGCTGACCTCCGAGACTTCTTGACCTCAGTCCTTCCCATCTTTTTTTTTCCAAGCTCTTTCTGTTGAGCAGTAGCATCAGGAGGCTGATTAAGCACAGTCAGCTAAATGCTAGCCTAATAAGGCAAGCTCTCCACCAGCACAAAATTGCAGCAAAATGCCCTAAGTCTTATATATTTCAAGATGCTATGTGGTCCTTGCTAGGATCAAGGCCATGCCTTTTGCAAGTGCCAAGGCTCGGAAGAGAATTAAAAGGAGTCTTGTAAAATCGGATGCCTGAAATCCCAAACCCACCAAGGTGCTGCTGTGGCAGGGGAGGACCCCTGGGGTGACAGTGATATGTTCCTAGCAGTTAATGCTGAGCATCTCAGAGCAGAAGTACTTCTTCCTACCTTGCCACCAGTAAAGGACCTAAAGCCACAGATGGGAATTAGTCAGACATGGAGATGATCAGACCTGTAGACTAAAATGAAGTAACCTCAGCAGCTGCCACATGCTGGTTCCCTGTAGGCAACTTGGCAGGGTATTCTCTGCAGGAAGGTATAGAGGATCATTGGCCTCCTCCCTCTCACACAACAGATTTTCTCACTTCATGGGCATGGATTAACCCTTCTGAGGTGCAACGCCCCTCTGCCACCTCTCCATCCCACTAAAGGAGCCATGTCACATCAATGGGGAAAGCTACTACTGGTCAGCAGCATCCAGGCTCTTTGTCATGCCTTAAAGAGCCCTTGCAAAAATGGTTCCCCTGTACTGTGCCCAAGCAGGCTTCACTACCACTTCCTCCAGAAACTGGGATTTGCTGCGCTTCCATCGCAGCCTCAAGACAGGATCTGAAGCAGGTGCCCAGGAGGAGCCCACACACAGCCTCCCAGCTGAGGCTTCTCCAGGCAGCTGCAGACTGTGGTGGGAAAGTTCATCCTCTCCTGAGCAGGTCAGGAAGTTGGTGTTCAGTGTGGTGGGGTGACTCGTCCAAGGCTGCACAGCAGATGGGTGTCCATCTGAGCGCAGAGACCAGGCGCTGGGACTCCGAGGTCTCAGCCCAGATTTTGCTCCCAGTTGCACGAAACCAAATTACATGGTAGCTCCTCTGTTTGCAGCAAGAGGCCTTTGGGTTTATGCCTGTTTCACATGCAAAATGCTGGGGTTGGACCCCCAGTTCTCTGCAATTGTGGTGTAGCAACCTGGGGGACTGAATTCTGCTCCCTCTTACTTAACAAACCCCCACTTACTTCACTCCCTCCAGCATAGGGAGGTACCCAGAGCAACAACACAGCAATCAGTTCCTGTGGGTGTGATCAAATCCTTCCCACTGAGTTTCCTTTCTCCGAGTGCTTGTCCCAGAGAACAGCTTAGGGAAAGTGTCTTGAAAGCAAGCTACAAATATGCCTAAATACGTAATATGCATTCACCTGATAAAACCTCTGGGTTTGGACTATTAACAATGAGAGGATTGCTAGGTCAAAAATTGTATATCTTATTGGCTATTTCTTCAATTTCTATAGTAGTTTCTACCTTATTTCTATTTTGATGCTAAAAATACCCTACTGTAATGAGTTCAGCAGCTGAATTATGCATTGCATCAAAAGACCATTCCTATTTGTTCAGTTTATACCTGCTACCTAATGATTTCTCTGGACACCTACTAACTCTTGTGTTAAGAGGAACAATGACTAACACTTTAGGTAATCTGTAGGGAGAGAATTGCAGAATATTCTGAGTTGAAAGGAACCCACAAGGATAAACAAGTCCAACTCTTAACTGAATGGCACATACGGGGATCAAACCCACGACCTTGGCATTATTAGTGCCATGCTCTAAGATATTCACTTTTTTTTACCATTCTTGATTTTTTAGACCCCCTGCCAAATACCTCTTCTGTCACCTTCTTTACAAGATAAAGAATTCTTATCTATTTAATCTTCACCAAATAGAGATCATTCCACACCTTCACTCATCACTGCCACGTTTCCATGTGCCTTTTTCAGTTGTTCATGTCATTTCTGTGATGGGATGACCAGAACTACACACACATTCACTGTGGAGGTGCACAGTGTAGCTCTCCATTGCCATGAGGGTATAATATGTCCTTCTCCTTAGTAATTTCCCAACTGTTTGTAACCTTCTTTTTGCCATTTTCCTTTGGAGTTGATGCTTTCTCAATTTGTTACAACTTGCCCCCTTTCCTGAGAGGCAATAATTAATTACAACTAATTTAGAACCCACTGTTGCACCTGTATAATCAGGGCTGGTTTTCTGCAAGTGTGTTACTTGCTATATGACTGTTTATCATGCAGACACTCAAGTTTCAAGAGATCTCTCTGTATCACCTCTGTTATCATCAAAGAACTGGATATGATAAGCAAATCTTCCTATTTCCCATATTTTTCAGACTATATGAGAATATGTTATGCATGTGATCATGCCAAAGAATATGCTATGAATTGGTTAATTTCCTCTGTCATGAAAACTGAACATTCATCTTCACTCTTCAACGGTATTAATCCACAGGAGGATCCTCTCCTCTGATCTAACTGCAGCTCAGTTTCCCTGAGAGTCTTTAATAAAGGATCTTGTCCAATGGTTCTCCAAAGGCCACTCACCACATTCACCAGCATACCTTCCCCCACTCGTTGACTTGCTCTGGGAACTCCATAGCCACAACTTTCCTCCTAAAGGCCATGCATCTCTTGTAAAATCACATTATGTTCCTTCAAAGGTCTCTTAGCTCTAACTTTGCTGGTAGCACTGTGCTCATAAGGAAGTCACCCTTCCAGATCTGTGGCTCCTCAGGTCCTTCAGGAAGCTCTATAAAATGCTCTTGTTGCCACTGCTCTGATAGCAGGGCAAACTGAAGTGAGAGGTTACAGTTACACATCTCACTTATGCCACCTGGTTCTGGCAACGCTCTTCTACTCCCTTTACCAATCTGTTCTAAAACCTCATAGACTGACACTTCTCTTTGCAACAGGTCCTGGGACAGGTCAGCCACAGAGACCGGCTCTTCTGGGGGATCCTTCATGAACACCTGATGTCATAGCAAGCAGAGGTGCAAAGGATGACTTGTGCTTGTCTGCTATGGCCTTGTGTTCCTTGGGTGCCCCTTTAACACCACAGTCAACTCGCAGCCTGCCAGGCTCTCTGACAAGCTTCCTGCTATGATTGTGTCTGAAAATATTTACTCTTAATTTTTTGGTCCTTTTTGAACTACTTCTCAAAAAAATTTGCTTTGACTAGTCTTAGGGTTTAAATTTTCTTCTCAGTGGTTATTAGATTATAAATCTTCTTCAGAGGTTATTCTGTCTTCTTTGTGTCAGCAGAGGTTGGAGGGATTTCTATGCTGAAATTATGCTGAGGTAAAACCAGGAGAAAAGCCCGTTAGGAATGTCCCAGAACAGAAAGACAAAAGTGAATGGGTCACCTCATGCTCTCAGCACAGACAGAACAATCTGCCACGTGTGAGACTAATTCACCAGCACATCCCAGCACAGAGAGGCATCTCATCTTCCCAAGCATGCGTAGTGGTTGTGATGACTCCAGTGGGGCCAGGGGCAGGATTTTATCACCATAAGTAAAAGCATAAGTTGACCTACAGTGCCCCCACGCTTGCATTCAAAATGTGGCTGATCCAGCCACAGTCAAATATGCCATTGTGACCATTTCTGTGTTTCTGGCAGCATCACATGTGACATGATATGTCCTCAAAGAGTATTTCTGTCTTCCTTTCAGAGCCACCTTGAGGAAGCTGCGCCCAGAGGACATGTTTGAGACGTGGGTAAGTACATGAGGGTGGGAAGCCTTGTGTCCCCTGCCAGCTTTCAACAAGGAACTGCTGCCCAACTCCAGTCTCTGGCTGGGCAAAACACTATCTTTCCTTCCTTGCAAAGCTACTTTCTCTCTTCTCCAAAGAAGGGAAGGCCTTGGCTGTGATGCCCAGTGCCCGAGTTCAAACAGTGTGCTCAAATGCTTTGCTCAACAGCAGTGCACAGCTGAACTGGGTCCCGTTTGCTCCACAGATGGAAGAGAGAAAGCCAAGCACTTTGCCAGGCAGGTGTTGGGCCTGTGTAGGGACCATGACAGAGCTGTGGAGGACATTCCGCTGCAGGATGCTCCATCTCAGCTAATGGATATCAGTGTTGGTAGTAGGAAGATTTCAGTGGCCTGCTTGCTGGGTGAGCTGCACAGATTGTACAGATGTCTCATGGAAATTCACAGAATCATAGATTGGTTTGGGTTGGAAGGGACCTTAAAGATCATCTAGTTCCAACCCCCCTGCCATGGCAGGTACGTCTTCCACCAGATTAGATTGCTCAAAGCCCCATCCAAGCTGGCCTTGAACACTTCCAGGGATGGGGCATCCACAAATTTTCTGGACAACCTGTTCCAGTGTCTCACAACCCTCACAGTAAAGAATTGCTTCCTAAGATTAAGTCCTAATTCCTAAATCTAAATCTACCCTTTCCCCCTCACCCTGTCACTACATGTCCTTGTAAAAGTAACAGAGTAGTTGTACAATTCAAAATGCAAGTGAGGGCAGGCAGTACAGTTAATTATATAGATTTCAAAGCAGATTATGCATTGATTGCACTTATTATGGTGTATGCAAGCTGCAAATCAGCAACTGTGAAGAAGTAACCAGCAGTTTAGCCCCTATCACACACTCTCCCTGGTCTGCAGGGTTGGGGAAGAGGGAAAGAGTGAAAATGAAAGAAAAATAGTGTATAACAAATTATCCCTTCACTGTGAATGAATACAATGTTAAAAGCTAGTCAGGGACCCTCAAGTCCCAGATGAATGCTGAAAAACAAAGCTGAACAGGTGCTTTACAGACACTAAGGAAGATGCAGTCATTCCTCCAGAAGGCTTGACATGTTTATAACAGCATATTCAGATGTCCCCTTGCTTGGCTGTGTAACATGAAATGCTGCGAGACTCTGAAGCGGCAAAAACCTTGGGAGTCTTTAATACAACTAGCAAGAGGTAATAAAATTGAACCAGGAGTTATGAGTCACTTAGGCATGATAGCTTTTCATTTTGTTTTGAAATACAGACTCTGTATAGAACATAGCTCCCAAGATCCATTGAAGCCCCTCCAAGGTTTTTAATGGAGCTTCAGTGAGACCCAAATTTCACTTTCAAACTGAACATATTCTAAATTAGCGTCAGGAAAAGTGTGAATTCACAGCGGTGGGACATTTCTTTACCAGCAGCCTGGGAATACAGAGCTTGCCTCTACTACAAGCAGGGGACTCATACCTACAGAAGAGAGAGGACTGGATTTTGATCTCACTGGAAGTTTACAACATGCTCAATGCTTTCACTGGAGTTAGTCCAGTTTCGTTTGCTGCCTTGGAGGTCAGAATAGAGCTATGTTATATAGCTATATACATATAAATATATATGGCATATATACATACATTTTATTTTACTGTCTGACAATGCTGCTGGCAAATATGAAGAAAAAGTAACAGTGCAGATTTTGCCAGCTGTAAGTGGTCTGAATTCCAAGTAAATCTGCCCAGAATGTCCCAGTGAAAACATATTCCCTGAAGACATCCACAAAGGCTTTGCATCCGCTATTGTTTTTAAAGATAATGTTTTCCACTTAATCTTTCAGGGGCTTTTTCCCTTTCAGTTTTTGATGGTGGCTTTGTCACCTCTGGGCTCAGAAGGGAAAAGAAATTAGCATTTAGATGGGAATTTTTTCTTGCATTAAAACCAATTGAAATGGAAACCAGGACCGACAGCGGGTGAGGAAGGCGAAACCGATCCACGGGATAATTCAGAGATGACATTCATAGCAGGCGGATGATGAACCGGCCAGCAGATCCATTGGCCTTTGCCGATATCATTACCCATTACTCATGTGTCTCATGGAGAAAAGCAGCCTAGCAGGCTGTCATTTCTGTCCTCCACTCATTGGAGCCGTGAAATGAGCCCCCCCTCAATTCTTCTCACCGCTCATAGAGAGCCTCACCTAAAGCAGAGACCCTTCACCTCCCAAAAGGGGTCCAAATGAGCCACCTTTCCTCTCATATTGTGAGAAAACCTCCTTTGCTGGTCCCCGAGGAGCATGTTCTGTGACTAACCATGGTGGCAGATACTTGTCTCCCTGTAAACTATCCCCTGGGATCTGCAAATTGAGGAGGGTAGGTGGCCTCAGGCATGAATGGGAAGCCTATATTCCCATGCTAGAGAGCCCTCGACCTTCTCTGCAGACAAACTTTTGCCCCACACCATCAGAAGCTCCCTCACCTTTGCCATCATGGTGCACACACATCATTTTTAACTGAAGACTTTCAGCAACACTACCCAAACTACCCACTTCAGCACCGAATACCTTCATGACTCGGCCTCACCTCAGCTTCCATTTCTGGCTTCTCAGTGGGGCTCCAGTCAAGCTTCCATTTGCAATTTTCTTGTTTGTTTGAAGGCATCCCACTGCTCTCAATCTCCAGCAACTGCCCGGAATCTGCCCTCCCTCCCTGGCCCATCAGTAATGGTTTTGTTGTTTCCAGGAGGATGACATGGAGGGCATCCACATCGTAGCCTTCGCTGAAGAAGACGACCCAGGTAAAAGGCTATTTTCTTCCTTGTGTGACTCTCCATCCCTCAAGGAAGTGTGTTTTCTTGTGCTTTGTTTGCATAGTGGAGCCTAGCACCCTGGCTGGGATGGGGAGCCCCAGCATGATGGGATGGGGAGCCAGGATGCTTCTGGGTGTTTATGCTAGCAGGCGTGCTAGCTGGGATTCAAATTTTGGATATAAATGGATGACTACCTGGGAAAAAAAAGTCATCCCCTCCACCCAGCACCAGAATTTTCTCCCTAACTCTGCATCCATCTTGCTGTGTGAATCTGGGAAAGTGCTTAAGTCTGGGTGTGTGATAGGCATGTGGGAAACCAGAGGCCACAAACTCCTGAAAAGCCGTGGCATCAATGCGTCTCAGAGCCATCAGAATGTCGAAATGTTTTGGCCTCTTGGGGGCTCAGTTCCTCCCTCATCACAAGAAAATAGTGACATTGTTCCACTCCATGGAAGGATTATGAGACTTAATTCATGTGTAACTAATTTCAATACCCGGGGAGGATGCCTGAAATTAAAAGCTTTATTATCGAAATAAAGCGCTGGGAGACAGCATTTTAATGAGAACTATAAACAACTCCTGTGTGCATAGGGGAGCCAGGGAAGCTGGAAACCCCACAAGCAAAAAGTGCCAGTGTGTTTGTAGGAGAGAGTTACAGTGGTTCATGTGTCATTTCAGATGGTTTTGAGTTCCTGGAAGTTCTGAAGCAGGTTGCCAGGGACAACACCGATAATCCTGACCTGAGCATTGTCTGGATTGACCCTGATGACTTTCCTCTGGTGAGTGGCAGAGGCTCCTTGCCTTTCTTGGTTTAATTCGTGGATGGGGTGGGTGTGGGGGTGTGTGTGCATGTGCACACACAAGTGCAGGAATTGCCCAGGGAATCCGGGAGAGGGAAGGATGGGAAACTGGACCACAGGCAATCCCCTTGAGAGTTTGTTGTTTGGGTCTTTTGGGTCTGCCTCCCATGAAGGTGTTACCTTGGGAACGTTCCCAGAGTTGGCATTTTCCTTTGCCAGGTGTGGCAACCCAAGCTTATGTTCAGGCCTCTCTTCTCTCCCATGTACTTGTCAATGCACATCCCTCACACCACAGCCCAATTGACTAAACTAGTGCAAGGGGGCATTACAAACATCTTTTCCTGAGCTTTTTGTTTCTCACTCCTGCAGCTGATCACTTACTGGGAGAAGACCTTCAAGATCGACTTGTTCAGACCACAGATCGGGGTGGTGAATGTCACAGACGTGAGTAGTGTGTGCCCAGAAAATCCAGGGACCCCAAGATTAGGGTGCTAGAAAGGATGGGACTTGAGGTCCACTGGAATCAGTGGGATTTCTGCTCTTAAGTACACGTAGACCAGGCTTTTGCCCTGGGAAAAAGTGTGAAGACCTCACCATTCCCACAAGCAGTGGAGTTCTTAATAGCTCCAATGTCCAGCTTCAGGGCTTTGGTCTGAGTGTGTTTCTGCTGCTGAGTCACACACAAACTACATCTACTGAAGACAGGACCAGCCCCTGTGGCCTAAGATTCAGGGCTTTGCCCAGTTAGGTTTCAAGGTCTCACATTTCCACCCCAAATCACAGCATGAACCTTTATCCCTTCCCTGCTGTGACAGCCTGTGTGGGATTGTGGAGGAAAACTGTGTGTAGGGAGAAAAGAAAGCCATGTTTAGGGAAGAGAAGAGGAGAAAAAGGAGGTTGTTTTTGCAGCAGAAGCAGAATGGCACAGCTTGAGCGTAGGAGGGAAAAATGGTCTCCAACAGATGACAGGGAGAAACTGTACAGCTTGAAAAAAACTAAATAAATACACAGTTTTAATAAAAGTACAGCATAAACCAGTAATCGAGGGATCCTCCTGTGGTAAAGAGGGTGTGCTGAGATTCATCCAGGCCCTCCTCCTTCTCAGCCACTGCCATGCAGGTAGTGCTGGGGGGATTTGGGTGGGAAGAGGAGACCCACCCGAGCCATACCTGGTGGTAGTGAAGGGTTTCCACACCGTCCCACAGCCAGCAGCACTGCAGAGGGAGAGCTGGAGAGGCAGATGCTGCTTTGGCACAGCTGCAGTAGTGGTGGTACCCACAGCACCCACAGCACTCACAGCTGTGCAACTGAGCCAACTTTCTAGCAGCTACTGTTTTAACTATGGTTGCCTTCAAGCCAGCAAGCCACGGGACTGACATCAGGTTACCCACACACTGTGAGTTTTTAAGGCAGGTGGGAGAGGGACCCATTTGACCCTCACCAGCAGAGATCTCAGGAGAGTTGCTAAGTGCAGTGTAACATGCTTCACAGCCCTAACATGACTACAGAGAGAAACTGTTTTCTCCTCAGTCTGACCATAGCAGTCCAGATGATCAGAGAGCACATTAAGCAGCATGCTGCAGCCTGGCTCACTTATTACCTGAGTTTATTTTTGGTGGTTAAGTGCCAGGTGTTTTAACCTCTTAAAAATGAACCTGTGTGGGTATGTAAGAGTCTCTGGAAACAGAAATCTCTCCACTGCAGAAGTAAATTGGTACTTGACTTTGTGTTTGCAATTTCAGTGTATGTGAACTTGATGTTTCATTAGAAGAGAGCAGAGAGGGATTTAAGAGTTGGGACAAATGTCTGGGGCTGGGTGCTGGTTCTGGCACCACCACTGACCTTGCTTCCAGCCTTCACATCCTCTCTCTTGTATCGCCCCAGAAAAAGAGGGACAGCAAGTGTGTACTGGACGGTTGTGCCTATGGTTAAAGCAGATGCATAAGGCATAAGATGGGAGATGGGATGGTGAAGGCAAAGTGATGGTGTCATGAAGAAGGCAGAGCCCCTGGATATTGCCCATCCTGTTGATGGGGATGAGAGGCTGACTTGGGAGTCACTGAGTGGTTGCAGCGCTGGCTGGATGTGAGCTCTTTACCTGTAATAGAGCAGTAATCCTCCAGATCATGAAGACCCAGTGATTTAAGCCTTGTTAGCAGAATTGTTAAGGGAGAGACAAAGGGAAGGGGACCAAGATAGCACTTGTCACTTCAGATCATAAGAGGAATGAACAGATAAGCCAAAAATAGAGCCCAAGTCTTCCAGTCTTTTGACCTTCTCACTAGTCTGCAGTACCTTCCTTCATTATATTTACTGTGACTGGTCATGTTTAAGTCACGTCAAAGCTACATTAAACAGAAATCAATGGAAATTCATGGAAGTGGGATTGTCAGAGGCATGAGAATCATATAGAAAGCAGTATTAAGTAAGAACATATGCCTTATTATTCAGCAGTCACTCAGAGACCTGTAAAAACTCATGCATTATCTGGCTTTGATATAGTAAATGTTTCAGGTTGTTGATTATAGTATTTGCAGTTTTTATTTCATTCCTCTTAAGTCCATTTTTTATTTCTCGAGAGAGATTTAAGAAAGTTCTAGGTTGGTGGGTGATAACTAAAACAAACATTGAGCTCATTTCATTATTTCAGTGTTACATCACAACATTCAGCCAAGTTACACAGGTACAAAGTGGGGCTTACACAACAGAGTGAAAATAAACACTGCTGTTGGCTTCTGTGGACATAACCCCTGTGACCCCACATCTTCTCTAAAAACCTGCCAAAACAAACACTGGAGCTCCCAGCTGCCCCAACTGGCTCATCACATTGTGGTGGCTCAGGACTTAGGGCCATGATGCTCTGCTCTGCAAAATATTGCTGCTTTATTTGCACAGCATCTTCTCTAGGTAAAATGGGGCCACTCCTGTTCCCATTATTTAAATGTGTCACTTTTTTCCACACAAATATTCCTGAGGTTAAGGACAAGATCATTTGTGTGAAGCAAGAGCTGCATGCCTCTCCATTGCTATTTTTTATTTCAGTTTTGGTAGTTTAGAAGGAAAATACTGTATGGGAGAAATAGCTTTCCTTGAGCAGAAATTGGTCTAGAGTTTTAGCAAGCCATAAACCAAAGAGAATTAGATAGCACAGACAGGGAAAGAAGTTGGATGCATTTTCAAAAGCTGGTAGTTTTCTTCTGAGATATGAAGATCACTGGCTTCTACAACATCAAACACTGAATGAGATAACCTCACAGCACCTCTGCAAAATAGGATGCTGATCCTGTTTTATGGAAGGGATGCAGTGAAGGGAAAGGGGCTGACCCAGGTATTTACCCAAGGAACCTACAGCAAAGCAGAGAGGAAAATCTTGATTTCCAGGCCTCAGAGACCATTCAAGCTATGCTTGCTGTCCCTGGGTAACAGTTATAATTTAGTCATCATCTTCTTACTGAATTCCCCCATCTGCTCTGGTTTGTGGAGGTAATGCAGACAGCTGGAGGGAAAGAGCAGGGGCACCAGGGCATTGGTGGTTTTCACCATTTTTCAACTGTAGCATGGCTGAGATGATCTGAGGAAAGGGTCTTCCAGGAGGAGGAACCACTATCACAAGTGGAGAGTCCAGAAAACAATCCTGAAGCAAAGGTGATGGTAGAAGTTTGGGGAGAAGGAGTGATGACAGAGGGGTATAAAAGCTCAAAGGAAGAGGTCCCAAAAGGGCTCAGGATGGAAGGAGGGAAATGCTGTGATGTCCTATGAACTGGGGCAATGCAGGGGGAACTGGCACAGTTGGTCTCTTTGAGATCTCTTTATGTAGACTTGGAGTCTACAGAACTCCCCAGACAGAGTGAGAACAATGCATTGGGTAGGCAGTGCTCTTGCTCACAGGCGTAGGCAGTGCAGGAGAGGAACAGGCAGCAGTCACACATCTCACCCAGGGCACACAATACCACTCACCCATGTAAACCCATTGACCAGTCCCACTGCCCCTGGCCAGATACAACAACACTACAGAGAGAAGCGGTAATCCCAGTGCATGGGCCGAGAGATGCCTTGCTTGAGTCTGCCCACAAGCTGTGGCAAAGAGGGAGCTAATGCTGCCACCAACCCTGTATCCCACCCATGGTCCAATCCTTACTCCTACAATAGTAGAGAACCCCATCTCTTGCCTGTGTCTCTGAGTGCAGCTAATCCCATCACCTGTCCCTGCAGGCTGACAGCATCTGGATGGACATCAGAGATGATGATGATCTGCCCACAGCTGAGGAGCTGGAAGACTGGATAGAAGATGTGCTTTCTGGGAAGATAAATACTGAAGATGATGATGATGACGACGATGACGACGATGATGATGACGATGACGACGACGATGACGATGATGAAGACGATGATGATGACGACGACGATGATGACGATGACTAACTGTGACTCTGTGCAGTTTGACTTGTGGGGCCCGAGAGCCCTCCCCCTGCGGCAGGTCCTTCCATTGGAAGGCCTGTGTTTGAGCAAGCACTGCTGCTCCTATTTGCCCCCTGCCCTGCTCCCCCTGCCCCTGCCCTTGCCGGGACCCCCTGGCCTGATTCTCAGTGGTGCTGAGCCACCGGGACTGCCCCTGCGGTGGGCAGTGCCTGCAGGCACCCAGCACCGCTGCAAATCATGCCTCCTTAGTAAGGACAATAGGAATCTGCAGGGAATCTGCCCCGAGTGTCCCAGGGCAGGAGAAAAGTGCCTGCCTGCTTGCTGCCAGAGGGACGCAGGGAGCCAGTTTGTGTTTTCCATGTTCATCAGCCCAGCACTTAACATCCAAAGACCAAATCTCCCTTCAAGACATTGAGAAGGCCACTGTAAAGTTTAGTCCTTTTATTAAACACAATGCCCTTTGCAGATACTCTGCCAAGACCACTCAATCCTGCAAGTCCTGCTGCGGGAGTCCCTAGCTAATGCTAGGAGCAGCAAAATGCTTTGGGAGGGGAGGAAGGTTTTAGGGATGCTATTAAAGTTTTCAGTGATTCCACATAACAACAGGATATTCTTGTCTGGCAGTGTGATGCAAAATCAGTCACCATGCCCTCTGTCTGAACCTCTTTTCTTGAAAGCTCGGGTCATGGCCGGGGAAGTGCAGATGGTCTGATAGGAGGCATAAAAGCTTGCAAGTTCCTGAACTGCTGGAAAGGCTGATCCAGGTCTGAGTCCAAACTCTTGAGTTTGAAGACCATGGCACTGAGTCAAGCCAATGGAAACATCCATAGGGGCCCACCCTGAAGCTCTCCTATTCCCCATGACCTTCTGGCTTTAGCTGACTCTTCACTCAAAGCCCACGTAGCATCTATTCCCATGACCAAGATGTTGGGAGGGAACACACCCATCCAACTACATTTGATATTGGATGAGGTACGTCGGGCAATGAGCGGCGAATGGATTCAAGTTGTTTGGCTTTAAGTATTTAGTTGCACAGTTACTCCCTGCTTAGAGACTTGGATGTCCCATAGTAGCCTGCGAGAAACATCTTTTGACTGCAGGAGCTCAGGGTGCCAGTTTGCAGTCAAGGGGGTCGCTCACAAAGCAAAGGGTCTGCAACACAGTCCTGGTGAGTGCAGCACCATCCACATGCAGGTCACTGTGGCAGCATTAAATCTCCCTGCTTTCCCATGCCAGCAGATTTCAATTGTCTTAGCTTATTAGGTTTGACAATAGTACAATGAACAGAGAGTTCGGAGATAGTTTTATCTCTATATACACATTTATAAGGATGTTCTCTAGTTGTTCAGGCTTGTTAGCATAGGTAGGGTGTGCATCTCCTTTTTTGCTACAGATGGAAAACATTGTCCTGACTGTTCTTTTACTGGCTTACGTCAGAGGTAAGTGATATTAGAGGAAATAACAGTGTGAGGGACAGGAGAATCAGAGCTCATTACACAAGTGTGAATCAGCCTGATGAGAAACAAGGTTCACACAGTATATATTTCCTTTATCAGACGAACCACAAAGCAAGATTTTATAGATTTTTTTTTTGCTGCCTGTTGATCAGTCTCTTTGACTCTCCTCTACATTAGCTGAAACAGAAATTTGAAACTACGGGTATCAAAAAGCCAAAGTATTGATATATTCCTATGTATGCCATATCCCTTGGTAGAAAATGCAGTATGAACAACACATGGCTGGATATCTATATATCTCTATGCATATGAATGAATACTGTGCTAATATGGCATATGACTGTAGGCCAAGTTAGCTCCTCATTGAATATAAAACATTCAACATGTGCTTTTAAGACACAGCTATTAGAAGAATAGACAAGGCAGCAAAGCCCCCCGGCCAACTTTTCATGCTTTCTTGCTTCCTTATGATACATAAGCACTGCCTGGAAGACAAACCAACTTTTGGGGGGAAACCATTCACCTGGTTGCTCTGGGGTGACGAACAACTTTCAAAAGCCTTGAAATGCAGAGTGCTCTCAGCATGGAGGTCCCCTTCTCCTCTCACATTTGCCTCTCTCCTGGCCACCAGGGTGCCCAGCACTCTCCTTCTACTCTTTCCTTTGAGCTCTTTCCTCAAGAGGTTTGCTGGAAGACCCTGGCTCAGAGAGAGAGGGAGCAGGCAGGACTCAAGGTCTCATTCATGCACACTGGTAAAGAGCAAGAAGAGGTAAAACTGGCCATCTAGTGGTCTCCCAGTCTGCAATTAAGGGACAACTACTTACCTGAGAAAAATACATGCTTATTTTTACCTTGGGGCTATTCCTAGGAGTTAAACATGCCCAGTTTCACCCTTCATAAGGCAACAGCCTGCACAGGCCCTGCAGCTCCATATCAGTTACTCTAAACACGAAGAATAAATGAAGAGCTGCTCTACTGCCTTTCCTAACTAGCACAGTCTCCGGACATCTCATCTACCTGGATACTTTCCATGTAGCTCCCCTCCTGCTGTGGATGCCTGTCTATTCTAATGTGCCCTTCTCCAGACGCACTGAGAGGCACAACTTACCCAGGCAGACCCTGCAAATAATGCTACGGACACGTTCAAGTGCACAGGTGTTTCATATATTTCAAAGCAACAGAGCTCTGGGGGGAAAATAGAATAAATAATGTAGAAGTGTAGAGGTTGAGCTCATATGGGGGCTGGTGGACTGGTACCAGTGTTTTATGGACAGTTTTCCTTGAGTTTTGAAAGGGCCAATGCTACAGCTGCCACTCCTTCGTGGTGCCAGTGAAGTCCTTGATGGGGCTGCCCTTTCTTTCTTGCCTAATCCCCCCAGTACAATTTTCATCATTCTCTTTGCCCACAAACAGGAACTGTTTATTATCAGCTTTTAGGACAAACACATGAAAAGTTAAGAAATGTTGCAGCAGAGGAAGGATTCCAGCAATGAGGATGGGTGGGCAGCAAACCCATTTACCTGTAACACTCCATCTGCCCCAAGATCCTAGTGACCAAACTGCTGAATGAGGCAATACCTCTTGTGAAGGAGATGGCAGCTTAAACTTGAGTGACTTCCTTGCAAGGATCAGTAAAACAGTGGTATGGGGAGGACACACAGGACTCCAGGCACAGGTATTCCTGGGCTCCTCTGTCAGAACTAGGTACAACTGGCATTTGAAAGGCAGTGGTGGCCCAGAGGAACTAAGTCAGCCTAACTCCCCCCACTACACACTGACAAGCAAAAGGTTGATTTGGGTGAGGAACCTGCAAAAAACCCTTAATTAAAAAAAAAAAAAAAAAAAAAAATTGTGTACATGAGCAGCACTGAGTGTTTCTGCAAGCACATCTGTTAAGACTGTCCCTCTCTTCAAGAATAGTTCTTTTTCTCCAGCATGTTAATTAGACATATTAAATGAGTCTTAACACACATAAGGACAAGTAATTGGATTTTTCCCTCATCCAACTGTGAGTACTTCAAGCTGATCAGTTACTTCATAGAATCATTCAATCATTTTTGTTGGAAAAGACCCCTAAGATCATTGAGTCCAACCATTAATCCACCACTGCCAAGTAAGTACCCAAAATAACCCAAAAGATAGTCTTACCAGCCCCCAATGACAGTAAGGACCCCACCCCCCACAAGTGATACATGGCAAGAACACCAAGTCATACACCACCACCTCCTCCCAGTCACCAGACACAGGGCCAGAGGCCACAGCCAAGGGATTTGTTTGGTGTGCTGTACCACAGGCCACCCCGTGCTGCTCATGGGCAACAACCAAGGCAGATGGAAAGCCACCAGGAGCCACATCCTGCAGCTATCATACTGCAGCATGGAGGAGAAAGTTTCCGCAGTGGGCCCAAGGTCACTGATGTAGAGGCTCTGTGAACCCAAAACTGCTCTGAGCTTATGTCAACCATTTGGGAAACAGCTCCAGAAGGAGGGGACAACAGAGGAACTTTGGAAACAGCAGATTACTCCACGGTTTCAGGGTCAGCGGTTTCTGTGATGTTTCTGAGGAGTTTTGAGGTTCCTGTGTCTCCCCTGGGAGAGGAATGGACCCGTAGTGAAACCAGAGATCTTGGCTGCTTCCCATCCCAAAACAAAGCTGCTCAGCCAGACACCAACATGAACGTGGAGCTGAGGACACCAGCTGCTTCTTCATGTCTGTCTGCACATCATACCTAAAGAAATGATTGATTCATGACAGAAACCAAACAAAAAACATCGTCTTTTATTCCCAGGAAAATAATTAATTAGACAGGAGCATATCACTTCCCAGCTGCCACTGACTTGCAGTCCTGTGAAAAGAGGCCAAGATTGCATCTGGTTTCATCTCCACTGCAGCAAAGCTTTGAGCTTTGGCTTTGAGGAAGTCTCACACAGAGCCAGTTGCACACCAACACCTGGACCTGGGGGTCTGAAAAGGAGGAGCAGGTAAACAGGCAACAAAAACCAAGGCCCTCCGAGACAAAGCACCCTGCCTTGTGGCTGCTTTTACACCCCAGGTATGTCTATGCCATGCAGTGCAAGACCATCTGCTAGAAACTGGTAGCAGCAGAGAGCAGCAGGCAGGATAACTGGCCTCAGTAACGAGGCTGCACCAGCAGGACTGTGTCCTACCTGAGACCCAAGACCGTGTGTGTCAACCCCCTGCACTGCAGCATCCCCTGCTCCCTTTTTGCCACTCCCTTGTACCACTGGCATCTAGCAAAGCAGCGCTTCGATGGTCAGTACCCCTGGGGGACAGCCACGGGATGGCTCTCATACCTGTTTGGCAGAAGATGATGTCTAATGATGACACAGGTCATGAGTGCAGAGCCAGCCCTCTCGGCCTTGCTCCCTGAACACTCTCTGCCAGGTTTAAAAGGTGCTAAACTATTTAAAGGGAAAAAAAAAAGCTACAGAACTTTCTTGCAGCTTGAAGATCCATTTCTGGAATCAGATTACAAACAGAGATGGAAGTAAAGATCCTTCCGGTGCCTCACTCCCCCCTCATGCTTTCTCTTGCCAAGCCCCTGTCAAAGGGCATTGTCCCTAATGCTATGGAAAATAAGAAGAAAACAAGCCTTTTCACCTTCTTTTCATCCCTCTTGAATTTCTACTCTTCTGATCCTCCCTGGCTCCCCTACTTAATTTTCTCTCTCCATTTCTATTTAACCTGTTTTCCTCTTTTTCTTAACCCACCCCCACAGCATATGGTACTGAGGGTCACTTAAGGACACAGCCCTTCCCTGCCCCTACTGCTTGGGCTCATCCCAGCCCAAGGAGACAGCAGCCTCCCCCACACCACTGCCAGGAACTGGCACGGACAACAACTGGGATGGACAACATTTCCTTTCTGAGGGGAAAGACAGTCGAACAAGGCTGTCACTGCCTTTCATTTTGAGGGGGACAGGTGGGACATGCTCAAGGAGAAGCCATTTCACCAGCCTGGGCACTGAGGAAAAACCAGAATTTTTTTTTGGTGGGCATCTTTTCCCATTGTCCCAAAATCCAGATGAGGAACCATCAGCCTGCAATCAAGCCCTAACTGTTGCCACCGTGGAAAGAGACCAGTAACCCCCAGTGACACCAGCGATCACACCGCTTCTGCTCACCATCTGAGCAGAAGACAAGTGCCATGGCTTCACATACAAGAAATAAGCCTCCAGGGCTAAATGAGCTGAGTTTG